GACCTTTATCAAAAACGATTTGAAACATGTTTGGTATTTACAATTCTCTCTTCGTTGTTTCCACTCTCAGGCCAGTTTCAAGCCCTTATAGAATTCAGCAGCTCTAGTGAAGCTGAACTGGCAAAATTGGTAAGAACTACTTTAAGTCATAAATTATATTTGCTGATACCTACTTTCCTCCCGAGCAGAGAGAGGCACTCTGCAAGTACAGTGTCTTGCTGGAGAGCACAGTACAATTTCATGTCCAGGGCTTGAACCCAGACAGCTCCATCTGGCAGAGAGCACACTAACCATGAAACCACCATGCCTCCACTTTTGTAATTCTAATTCTACTGCATATTCCTCACTTTCCTTTGTTATAAAGTTTGAATTAATTCCTTTCTTTCTTTCTTTCCAAAGACACTGGATGGACAAAACATTTACAATGGGTGCTGTACATTGCACCTAGAGTACTCCAAGTTAACTACATTGACAGTCAAATACAACAATGATAAGAGCAAGTGANGACACTGGATGGACAAAACATTTACAATGGGTGCTGTACATTGCACCTAGAGTACTCCAAGTTAACTACACTGACAGTCAAATACAACAATGATAAGAGCAAGTGAGTGCGTTTGTTACTTTACTGTACCCAAACTCAGGATTGGCCAACCATAAGTATTATTGTGGTTGTAATTTTGTTTGAGCCTGTAATTTCTTTACACAGAGATTATACTCGTCCTGACCTTCCATCAGGTCCAAATGAAAATCCTTTTGGCGGAGCTGACATCGCTAGTTTAGCTGCTCTTGGTGAGATGCACATCCCTTTTAGTTAGTGTACATTAACTGTTTTGAGTTAAGGTTGTCTGTTTTGTATGGAGTCCTGGTCATCAATATTCTACCCACAGCACATGCACACTAAATCAAAACAAAAAGCATAAAAAAATCTTTACAAAATGTTTAACTATACCACACCCCCTCATGTTTTTCATCTCATTTCTTCTAACACATCCACCTACTTGTACATAAAATCCCCCTCTCTTGTAATATATTTAATCAATGTCCTTTAACAGGCCATTTCTCTTTCATTTATAACCTTTACAACTTCAAATTTTTATTCCCCACCCCCTTTCGTCCCTTCCACCTTTCCTACCAAAAAAATTCTTGTTGATTTATAGTTTGATTCAGAAGGTTATGAAATGTCATCTTGAATTAAAATATATAGAGGATATTACGTGGCGACACAGAGATATGAAATTTCTTTTCCAGTGTTGAAAAAATATTTCACGAGTGAGCACGGCTGCCGAGTGAAATATTTTTCAACACGAGATGAGAAATTTCATATCTTCGAGCAGCCATGTAATGTTCTATTTATTATATAAACACCAGTGAAATAACAAACCATTTAACTTTCGCTGCGAAAGGTGCGATTTATTATGTTACCGTAGCAACGTGATTTTTTTCACACATGAAAATAACATGTTATTTTCACGTGTGAAGATATCATGTTTTTGTGCAAAAGCTCACCTGGTATTTCATCAGTGTTTATGTAATAGAGTTATTGTTCTGTTGTTTTTAGCTGGTGGCGCTGGAGGTGGTGCAAGCTTGATGGGAGCTCCAGCACTGTTGAGTCTGCTTCCACAAGGAGGGCTGCTACAAGCAAGTAAGCACAAGTCTTAAATGGGAGAAACAGTTTTACAGAGTTGTTAGCCTATGCCATCACCATCGCATGTAGATAAGCGTGAACACGTGATGTCGAAACATGCTCCAATTGGGTGTCAAATGTGGCATAATTGGTCATCAGACATTTGAAGTTTAGCAGACCATAATGTGAACTTTGGTACTCTGAAAGACTCTGAAAGTCTTGCTCCCGTCAATATTTCATGGTTATACTAGAAGTAAAACCACTTTTGTGAAAGGCGTAAGCATATTGACAGAGGTCAGGGTCAATTTCTCTGAAGTCCAATCTTTCTGCCATTTCATGTGCTGAACTTTGAGCGCAAAAGTGCACCCAGGATTAGTTAAAGAAAACCATTAGGTATACTTTTGGAATTAAACTGCTTTTCATCCAAGATTCCCTTTAAAATCAAATCATTTCTTCCCAGATTTCCTTGCTGCCACAGGTGCAAGAGGAGGAATGGGACTAGGGACTCCCGTTGTTCTCGTCAGCAATTTGAATGAGGAGGTAAGAGAGCTTTGGTGCAGTACTAAAGAGTACTGCACTTTACTTTTGGTAGTTTTAGAACAGCTACAAATGCTTTCCAAGTGTCTGTTTGTACATCTATAAAGTGAAATAAGCATCCTCAAACATCATGTGGTACATGTATGCCCTGCCACTGATCAACATGGATCTTTTCTTTTAAAAAAATAATACAGTTGGATCCTGCTTGAACTCAGTCATTTCAAATTCCCTGTTATTCCGAACTTAAACCCTTGGATTTGCCCTTCTGTCGTTACAGAAAGCTGTTTCAAACTTCCATTAAATTTGAAGTATCTTCCCTGAGAGTTCGAAATAGTAGGGTTCAACTGTACCACGTCATGTGCAGGTTGTAAGAATTAGGCAACCAATCACCAAATTTTCCCAACAAGTGTTTCTTCATTTAATGCAGAGACCAGAAGGTCTGTATGTTGAATTCAATATTGGGTACTTTTGATTATCAGTCTGTAACATTTTCTTTCTTTATAAGGATGCTTTAAACACATGTAAAAGAAAGTCAAACTTTTTGGACATAAAACGAACACAGTTTAGTAAGGCTGCAGTCATTCTCTTCGTTAATTTCATTTGATTTCTTAATCCTCAAGAAAGTAGCTGCCGTCTTTGTAGGACTGCTTTGTATTATTTTGTAATTATTCTACTTTGAATATTTTGTTATTTTTTGTTACTCTAACCTTTAAGTCAAAGTAACAGAGTAAGGGCAAAATTTTCATTCTAAATGATATCCATCTTTTAATTTAAGTCAAGAGCAGTAGCACATAATATTTCAGCGATAAAATAATTTATCTTTAGTGTTACTGACATTCAAATACACAAGAACTTCTTCCATTCATTGCTAAACTGTATGTTTTGTTACTTTCTTTGTGTTCCTAGATAACACCCATATTATTTTAATTTCCTTGTTTTATTTTGTGTCTTAACATCTTTCTTTCTCTTGTAGCTTTATCTGCAGCCTGGAATTTCCAAAACCTTAACTCATCTTTTGTTTTTTTCCTTCTTTCCCCTATTATGCTGTGTTCACGGCGCTGACTGATGGTCGCCCCCTTCTCTCTCTTGCTGTGTTCCACTGTTCACGGTCACTTGGAATCCGTTTTCTAGAGGATAAACTGTGACATGCTTTTCACTCTGTTTGGTACGTCTTTTCCCGAGTCTCTGTCATCCAAACCCTTTCTTGTTTTCATTTTTGTTTTCCATGGTTAAAGAAGGGTGATTTTTGATGGTAAACTCCATTTCAATTGATATCATGTTTTTATTGTTTTATAGTTTTATGTTTTGTTTGTTGTTGGCATTTCATGAAAGAGCTAATGCTTCTAACTCTTTTTTTCTGGATTACTCCTGAAGTCCATCCCATTTTCATGTAAACCATTTTTTACAGTTACTGTAAAATATTTGTCTGTGAAAAGTATCCCCTTAAGTTACATGTACAGTAAGCAACTGCTTATACCAACTTTCATGGGATCAAATCTTAGTCATAAGCCTTCCTTGGCAATGAAGTCAGTGACAGGAACGTCTTACATGTGTATGCTACATGCACATGTATTTTCATGTACTTTTGGTTCACTGTATCAGCTCTCTTGCTTTTGTGTTTTGAAAACCCACTGAAACCTCTACAAAACAATGTTTTATGCCATTTCCATACACAGTACTAAAACTGTTCAACAACCAATATCCAAGTTCTCGAATTGCGCATACGTGTGGCATCTTTTTCTTTTAAAATCATGTTTTTCTTATTCGTGCAAAACCAGCGTCTTTGAACAAACAGTTCCTTACACTTTAGTGGTATTTTCACTTCATTTCTCCTTAATCTCAGGACTTGGAAATTGGCTGTTAACTTTTCACTCCACAAACACTACACATTTGCAATTGTTTTCTACAGTACATGGCAACCATTTTCAGTGTGGAGATCTTGTTAGTACTACATTAGGTATACTGTATACTATCAACTGTGTTGTATTTTGCACTTGAGCGAAAATTGACAGCGTGATTCTCTTCTTTGCGTAAATTTTTTAGGTGTGTATGGTGATGTAGTCCGTGTTAAGATTTTGTTTAACAAGAAGGACACAGCCCTTATTCAGTTCAACTATGTTCAGCAAGCTCAAACAGGTAACTTTGATGTACTGCGACATAGCACCAGTGTGTTAAAGGAGCACTATCAAAACATTGGATAATATAATTTAAAAGCTATCCTACATGTACATGATGAAACTATTTTCTTCCACCTGTACAATGTAGCTCTGGCAAGGAAAAGTGTGAATCAGTAAGTGAACTGCTAGTCATGGTTCCCACCAACACATGAACAACTGTTTCAACTGCAACAGGTTTGGGTTGATACAGTTGACATTTCTCAAGAGAACACTTCTCCAACCATTTTCGGTTGAAAGGTGTTAACCCCAGGGAATAGTCCTTACACGAACTACAATCACATGACATAATCATGCAAATACTTTTTCAACCATTTGAACCTGGTTTGAGTACAGTTGAAAAAGTTGATCAACCAAACCAGCCCAACCAACCAGAAACAGTTGATCCCTACAGAACACAACCAAACTGTGCAATATCTGGTACGGGGACACTGCCAATAAAAGGACATTATAAAGTCAAGGTCCCAGCCACATACAGTTGTATAAGACTTTTGCCATAGTACAGAGGAGGCTTGCTTGCTTGCCACAGTTCCAGGAGGCTTGATGTCTGCATTGTTACTTCACTGTATCTTTTGATTGCTTTCTTTAGCTATTACGCATTTGAGTGGAGTCAAAGTTTATGGGAAAGAAATCAAAGTGACATCATCAAAACACAACTCAGTTTCAATGCCTAAGGAAGGAGATGTGAGTATGACCAGGGTTTCTGATCCACCTTTCATTGCACACTTCAAAGCCATTTATATAGTATGTACTGACAGTTACCCTTTCCTTGTTGTAGGAGAACAATCTAACAAAGGATTTTACACATTCACCTCTACATCGCTTCAAGAAACCTGGATCCAAGAACTTCCAGAATATTTTCCCACCAAACAGAACGCTCCATGTGTCAAATATCCCGTAAGTACATACAAATTTCATGATAATGCATCTAACTGTACATGTTAAATTAAGCTTACTGTTGGGCAGACAATTAAAGTAATGTAAGTTGATAGAGATCTAAATATTTGTTGTGTTGAATTGACAGTGAGAGCACCACAGAAGAAGAGTTGATAGATGCTTTTTCTGCGGCAGGAACAGTAACAGAATTCCGCTTCTTTCCGTGAGTAATAAAATCACTTAATTTGTTTGGGGTTTTAATAAGTTATTACTTTTCTAATAATAGTAACTTTATACATTTACACTGGAAAAAAGAAATATGTTTCAGAATAAGATGATGTCATGCATAACTTAAGGCCTTGTATGTGCTGAGAATCTGCAATACTGTAATTGTTCAATGTCACACACCCTATATTGTCCAGGGATGTCTCTATGAATTTTGACATTTATTTAGTTTCTTTAGCATTTAATATTAATTTCAGTATTATGATGAAATGCAGTATATTGTGTTGTTGTATTTTGCTAAGTTCCACATTGCAACTAATGTATTTCAACTTTGATTACAGGAAAGACCGTAAGATGGCTTTGGTGACATTGACATCAACAGAGGAGGCGATTGACGCTCTTGTTGTAAGTTTCATTTTACAGATCCTGAAAATTATCATACCCACCCAGGGGTTTCATAAATGTTTCCAGCAGGAAGACAAAAACGTTTTCCAGATGACTCCCTCAGATGAGTCCCTCGCCATTCCCAAGCTAATCTCCAATATGCACATGTGCCCCTGTTCTCTTGTGTGTTAGCTACACTGATTTAAGTAACAGGGGTTTAATTACCAGTAACGTTTTCAGCAGGTGGGCAACTGGTTTTCACAGGCAGGCAAAAATGTTTGAACTGAACTTCTTTATAAGAAAATCTTTCCCTTAGATGGTCAGCCTGGCCAGCAAAATTACCCTCACAGCCAGTCTCTTTGCAGGGTGCCTCACCCTCAATAAAACCCAGTGGAGTAAACTCCCACCCCACCCCACCCTGTAAAAAAAAATAGCACAGGAAATAAGGGCACTGTAGATCCCCACCATGGACCTTTTAGAGCCTCAACATTTTTTTGGAACTCTGTTAAATGACTTTTGGGAGTATTAATTTATATATATCATTTTCAACAGAAAATGCACAACTACAAAATCACAGAATCGAATCATCTCAGAGTGTCATTTGCCAAGACAAGGACATCTTGAGTGTGGCAGACTTCTCGCGACACTTCACTTCTCTTTCTTTCTTCTTATTCAACTTCGTTTTCTAGTGAATAGCTTTTGCTTCCTTACCTTAGTTTTAGTCATGTTGTACTCTTTTGCGTAATGCTCACTCTTGCTTGCATTTTCCTCCAATCAAGTTCAGGAGCATTCCAACTGTGCATGTGCATTTTATGCCACGCTAAATTGCATTCACTTAATGCACATAATTCATCTTCAGAATTGTGTTCTTCCAGAAAACTGACTAGCAATGCTTCAAAATCCAATTTCTTCCCCTTTTCACATTTTCTGCTCCACTTCACATGTTACAACATTTTCAAGTAGTTGTAGATAGAGAAACACCAAAATAGGAAAATGAACAATTACTAGAAATATTGAACTTCATTTTGTATTATCACCTTGCCAATTTGTATCTGAGGGAAATGTTCTTTTTTTGTGGAAAGAAATGTTAAGAAAAATCTATCTATCAGTTTTGTTGATCTGTGTTTAAATAACCTGTTTAGGCCTAATCAGTGGTCTACTTGTAAATTCGTCTTGTTGGCATTGGCTTTAGAGAAAACTCTTGACATAAAGTTCCAATAATGAACAAAATGTACTGACATGGTCATGGAGAAATTATATCTTGGTTGCTGTAAAACTGAAAAAGTGTGAGGGTTCTTTTACTGCTTTATTATTTAGAATGAAAGATAATGCAGAAACTTGAGTGTGCCTGTAGTTTGTTGCCAAGTCAGGTAGCTAACTATCACAACAGGCATTCAGTTAATGATTGTGTTAATTTCATCAGCTCATTTGCAATGGTACTTTAGGAGAAAAGTGATGATAGAGTGGTTATGATGAGCATTTCTAAGTGACCATGCTATTGTTAATTGAAAGAAAACCCATAATGTGGATTTTATTTTAGTTCTGGTGTTTTGACAGTTTCAGTCTCCCAAAGATTTTCCAGGCAATGTTACGTCTGAGTTTTATTTCCAGATTCTTTGTTCAGGTTATAAGTTAGGGTTTAATTGCTTTTTTCCTAGTGTTTCAAAATTTTGTGAAATTATGTGAGGATGGACACAGGAACATTTTAAGTAGTTTTCAAGTGACTGCTAATAAACCAATCAGAGTCCTTGGCAAGCATGGGAAGGTTGCATGTTAGCCAATCACGGCCTTAAGAATGGGAGGGACCTATTTTAAACACAGCAATGAGAAGTTCTTTGTAAGATGATGATTAGTCATGTTTTATTGGCTGAGAAATCTAAATAGACCATATTTGTATTCTCGGTATGGACTGGAACTAGAGTGCAACTGAGGCTGATGTGGGGAGTCTTTTCAAATGCAAACGACATTAATTATTAATTAATAATTAATTAATAATAATTAATAATAATTATCTCTTTTTAATGATATTCCCCTGCTTGAGCCTCTATTGCAAGCTAGTTCCAGTCCAGTACCGAAAACACGAATATGGCCTATTGATTGACCTTAGAAACTTGTGCAATTTTAATCACAAAAAGAGAAAAATTGTTAAATCTGTCAGTTGAAAAGTATTCTGTTCTTCTCCACCTCACTATTAGTTTGTCTTGTTTTATATCCAGTTTATCAAGTTTGAACTTAGAAGGGTATACTTTGGTATGTTTGTATCCAGCTCAGCTGCAATTTAAGGTATTGGTCCCATTTAAAAATTCAAAACCTTGCAATTCTGATCTTTTTAAATTTTCCTCAGCGGCTCATTATCAATAAATTTTGGTAGGGGAAGGGTCTAGTTAAACGTTATTCTCGTTAATCCTGTTTGTAGCAACCTTTCATACGAAAAGGATTTAGAAAAAAAAAATAAAAAATTAATTTTCTTAGCTTGTTGCTTTGTGGGTGACTGTAGACTAATCGACTTGGGGGTTAAACGACCGGATGTCCTATTAACTATCCACCGAGAGAACATGGCACCTGTTGTGAAAGAAAGAGAACTCCCGTACCCCGCTTTTTTCGTTTCCTCCGCTATTTTCTTCTGCCCTCGTCTCCTCTCTTACTCTCTTTTCTCCTTGTTCTCTCTCGTGAAGGAAGAGAAACTGTTCCCCTGAGTAAGCTGCAAGGGTGTGGTGGGAGAAGGGTCAGTTTTCTGTGTGGGTGTTGGTGTTTGAGATCCCAAGTGTGAGGCTCAGTAACGTACTGGCTATGACTCTAGATGTTCACGGGTTGATTGTACCACACTAAGAACAGAACAGCCCATGTTTTCAATGTGGAATTGACGAAACAAAGTAACCAGGATACGGGCATGTGACATCTTGAGTGTTAGTGGTGTAATGGCCATTTGTGACTGCTATGCGTTCTTTCATCCTACTCGATCCAATCCAGGCAGTGTTTAGAGTGTCCAACCTCGTTCCCATGGTTTAGAAGGCGCGATTTTGGACAGACCATGGGAACGAGGTTGGAGACCCTCCACTCCCGTCCACAATCCTCTACAACATGGCGTCTGCTTGCCGTGAGCTTCTTTGGAAACATTCACGCTCTTACAGGCTGCAGGTAATTTATATACATGAAATGCCTTAGTTCAAAGTAACTCGACTAGTGTTGGCGCGTAATGTTTCTTTCTCTTTTACCAAGTTATTTGACTATAAGAAGCTGACGCTGTGAAGTAGTTTTAATTAATTTTAATAAGTTAACTAGCTGAACAATATAGATGCGATTCTCATGATGAAAATTGGGAGTTGTTACGCTAAAGATTTCGCGAGATTTTTATTACGGTTGGCGGCGTTCTTGTGTTAAAGGTCAAAGAGAACGGTGCAAATCTCGCGCAAATATATAATATTGCAGGAATATGAATCGCAAAAACCTGCGCTGAGTTGTCACAACAAAATTGTCGAGCGCTCCACATTGCACGAGACAATTTTTAAGCAAAGAACTTGCAAAAATTATCGCCCCATGTATCATAATGTTGCTTCGATGATAATACTTCTGGGTTAAAAGTTGCTTTGCATAAACATAAATTACAAATTGTTGAAAACCATCGCTAAAATTCGCCTTAAATGTTGGCAGGTGCTTTTAAATTTTTTTACATTTCTAACTTGCCGCGTGCCGTCCTCTTCAGAAAAAACAACATAAAATGACCAAATTCTACGTTTCCCAGAAAAGCTTGAAAGGCTTTTTTTAATGCGTCAGTCGCTTCTCGTACTCGTCAAAACAGTAATCATTGTTTTAGTAAAATGCAGACACTTGCGATATTAAACGGTCCCTTTGTGAAAATTCAATGTGAAGTGCCAAAGCACAAAAATGAAACAACACAGGTACACCGGCTTCATTGAAACATGGGTTTTACGTACGGTTCTCCACATAAGTTGAATCAGTTACAAAATTACATTCGATTGTATTCAAAAATATCTGAAATACAAACCTTTATTCAACGTCTTCCTATTGTATTTGATAATTTTCGCTACATCAGAGTATTTCGTCTTGAAAAATCTTTACTTGACTTGAGCTGCATACTGTACTAACGTTTGTAGCTACATGTATATAGTGAAGCATCTGCTACGGAAACCTTTTGTAAGCATGCTGTCCGAACCACATACAAATACAGGCTACATTTTTTGATCTCTTATAAACGAACATCTCCTGCTAAGTGGACAGTTTTTCAGCTACCAAAGGGTGTCGGACGTCGGACTCAAATTTAGCTCCTTCAGGATGGTGAAAACGCCCCGCGGGGGAGGGGAGTACTACCTTATATGGGTTATGTAGGTATGTGCAGCCCCAAAGGGTATGGTTTTTCAGCCGTTTTTGTCATAAATAGGGTATCGATTTTAGCTGATTTTAGCCATTTTGGTCATATATAGGGTATGGTTTTTGCACTCTAGCCTAGCCACTTTTTCGTCATTATCGAAAAGAAAATCAACAAAAGTCCTTTGCAAATTATGTTTACGGTAATTAAACATTGGACTGAACTAGGGAACTAATTGTAACGTAGGTCTGAAACAGGGTTTTGATTTAAGGGTCAGGTCATAAATAGGGTTTCGAATTTATGGTCAGGTCATAAATAGGGTAGGGAATATCGCAGATTTTGGTCATAAATAGGGCAAGGGTTTTGGGAAGCGGGCCGCACAACCCCGCCCAATTTTTCTGCGAGTACCCCCTCCCGGGTGAAAACGGCACGATCCAAACTCAAGAAAAATCATTCAAACACTGTGTATGCTTATCCGACAGATACGGCTAAAAAGCCATAGCCGTTATTTTAATACTAAAACATGCGTTTTTCATGGCAACAGTGACGCAGTAACTAGTAGCGGCGAATCCAGACCTTTCTATGAGGTGGTAACCCCAATTGTTTTCCCGGCTCTTGGGCTTCAATTATGGTAGGGCCCAAAAACATTTCGGCCTTTTGGATCTAACGGTATGTAACAAACGTTTTTCGTACGAGATAGGACCGATATTGATTTTGCTAACGGAAAATTTCAAGATCTACCGTCCATGTGTACCTTGCCACATTCCTTCGCCCGGAGTCCATCGTGGGTTTGCTATACACGGCCTCAATTCAAATTTATACATCCCCCCCATTAGCGATATGTTGAATACGTTTGGAAAATAACATGTCTCCGTTATGCGAGTTAGTGGCAATGAACTTGTGATCAACTCACGCGTGTCTCTGCTGTCCAGCCCAAAATTACGTATCATTTCTGGCGAGCTGCCGTGAACACCAAGGTATTGATCACATACCCGAGAGAAATTCTTGAATTTTTCGAGTTCCCTTGCCGGCGGGTAATGATGTAGTCTGTGATCGTCAAATTCAACCAAAGACGTCTTATTACCGTACAGGCTGTGAAGCCAAAATCCAATTTGCTGATCGCTGTGTGGATGACAAACAACGCTACGAGGATCTTGTGAGAGGAAGCGCTCGATGACGTCTGCAGAAAACACGATCCAGGCTTCGTCGACGTAAATAAGGTCCTGGTAGCTGCAGTGATATGAACCCCAGACCAGCGATTTCCTCGGTCTTTGGTACAGCTCTGACTTGAGTTTGTCCAAGCATAAGAAGTAATCATCGTCCATATGAAGCATGTATGTGAAGTCAAACTTGGCCTTCGCCCACATGATCTGGTATAAGAAACGGATTCCGAAGATGCGTGTGACTTCAAGCGCCATGAATTCTATGTCTCTGTATACGTCCTGCTCTTTAGAGAGTGCGTTTTCTTGTTGTTCAGACAGTCCAAGAGCGTCCGTGAAGAAATAACATATGACCTAAGCATGGCAGATTTAAAGGATGACTGTTATTACGATATAATGAGCAGATTACGTAAACAAAGTTTAGCGGGCTCAAAACCATTGAATTAGACACCAATCTTGAGGCTTTTATCAGTTGATAGCTGGCTGAAATTCAGTTACGACTGAGTGAATTTAAGTGGACTATGGAAAGAGACGTCTGCCTGTTTTGTCATAACCTTGTACTGTTTTGTTACACCTAAACTAGACTGCAAAACAGTCGTTTTCGGACGTTTTCGGAAGGCGCCAAGCGCCGTAAGCGCGACCCTCGCATATGAAGCGCGCGAGCCTCACACGCCCGTCTCTCCCCATTCTCCCTCGCCGTTTTTACACTCGCTCCAGACCTTTCGTTCGAATATTGACCGTCGCTCGCGTTCGCAAAAAATACGACTGTTTTGCAGTCTACACCTAAACTAACATATCGATAACTTTCGACCCATTCTCGCTCCCAGAACCTCCGTTTCTTTTGATCCCGTGATCGGCGAAACGGAGGGCGCGACATTTTAACACGAGCAGGACTGGGGACGAGAAAGATTTCGACCATATGAAAAAACTGAGAAAAACTGCACACGCGGTCCAAGGGCCCAGCTTGTAGCCAATCAGGTTGTGAGTTTACCAACTGTCATCCTGAGTCAGCCATAGACTGAATTTTAGTCGCGTTGTTTACCAATTTCAGAGCGAGAACATTTCAGTGAAAAAACTAGAGGTTATTTGTAGCTGCTTTCAACTCACGTCAACGCCATCACATTTCTTCCACCATGTTTGCCTTATCGCTTCTCTTCTGTCGTACCTCGAGGGTGCGGTTGTCACGATCAACAACAACAAAAAAGACACCTTGTTTTTCACCTCCTGTAAATCAGTCACGTTTAGTTTTCTTTGAACGGTTGACCCCGTGACCTTGACCTTTGACGCATTGACAAACATATCTCGGAGTGGCTGTAAGCGATTGTACTTCAGTGCTGACTGTCCAGCTAGGCGGTTTACTGGCTGGCGTGGAGAGGAATTGTAGGTAATCGCGACAAAGAAAATCACAAGGATGACTGTAAGAGTGAAAAGTCCAGCGCTGATATGGCAACGCGGAGGTGTCCGTATAGAAATGCCAGAAAAAGCCATAACGAAGATTTAGTGTTCTCACCGTTGGGTCATAAGCGTAATAATAGCAATTTGTTATTCCACAAAGCACCAACGATGCCTGTAACAAAGAACTTTGTGTTAATTATAGCATAGAACAAACGAATAAGAGCATACATATTGGAAAGTAAATCCTGTTCGTAAGCTTTATTTTTCAATTTAGTTGTTGGTTTAATTTTCAGTATTCCTCTTTTGACCATACTCCAAAATTTAAAAACTTTCCAAAGAAATTGCTTTGCTATTGTATTATACGATTCCTAAATAAGGATTTTCCTTTGGTTAGTCACACCTAAGTATTAAATCCAGTTTTCCTACTGATTTTGATTGATTCCTAACATCTTCCGTTTTCTTTGCTCTTAAGGTGATTCCTCACATCTGCATTGCGCATCCTTACTGCGCATAATTTATGGTGTCATTAGCGCGCGTTCGTGCACGCGCGCATTGAGAACATGGCGAATTTGCCTTGATATTGAGTTCTGTCAGTTGAAAAATGGCTATAGCTCACTAACGAGCTGCGGCACCCCAAATTTTTTTCCAGTCATTTTAATCAACTAATCATTAG